GGGGACACCGCCTTGAAGTAGCACTGTCCGTGCGGGCGGGGAGGCTTGTGTGCTTCAGTGAGATGGAGGGCTAAGCCGGCTGTAGCATGGCAATTTTCTATTCATGACTACTGGTAGGGTTACCCATGCCGGACAGGCCAAAACTGAGGGGCCGGTCTAAGTCGTGTCCTACCTCGTCCTATTCATCCCATCTTAACGGTGCATTCTTTCTTATCTTTTTGTCCTTCCTCCATAAGATGTGTTCATATCGTTATGGCTCCTCCATCTACCATTGTTACATATTTAACTTTCATCTATTCTATCGCCCTCCGTTGGTGAACTCGTTTTTTTCTGACCCCGACGCTACTAGGTTTCGAGGGCTAGGGAGTCTTTCCTCATCTTCCTTCCTAATTCTTTAGAGTGTAGCTGACAGGCCTTACGCGGGTAGCGCCCCAGAAGCATCCAAGTATGAATGGTGCATCCAACAGGGGAAGGTGGGATTCACTCACCTTGGGAATTAATTCATCCCTAAAGAGTGGATCATGGGTGGGATGCACTCCTTAAGCTACGGTGGAAGCAATTAGCCTAAGAGATGGAAACCCCTGAAATAAAAGCTCCGGTCCTCCAGGTTTGGGGGTTATGCTGTAGGCCAGCACCCTGCACACGTAAAACATCACGCCGCTAAAATCTCAGTCATAGGAATGCCTCGAATATTTCAAAAGGGAAACGACATTGGCAAAGAAAATGGACTCTGAATATTGGTATATGGAATGTACAAAGCATATCAAACAAACAACAAGAAGTAATCCAGGAAATGATGAGAAGATACATAGATATAGCCGTCTGGTTTGAAACGAAAAAGAAAGGCAAAGGAAGCGAAATGCTGAATAATTTTGTGCACTTTTACAGTGGCGTAAACAAACATGAAAATGCCAAAGCTGGAATTTCTATTGTTATTGGTGAAAGATTCGGTAAATGTATAAAACGTTGAGAGTATATAAACGAACGTCTTGTTAAAGTAGTGTTAAAAATCAGAGAAAAATACGTAAGTGTCATAGGAATATATAATTTGAATGATGATGCCCCAATGGCTAAGAAAGATGATTTTGAAATGACAGTCAAAGAAATCCTTAGGTATTCCAAAGTCCCATGAAATAATATTTGCAGGAGATTTTAACGGCAGAATTGGAAGAAAGAGGAACAATAGTATTGTGGGTCTACATGATGAGGAAACTCGCAATGACAATGGAAAAAGACTTATTAATATTTGTGAAGAGTATGAAATGAAAGTTAATAACACTTTCTTCCAACATAAAGATATAAGTAGACCTGGTACCAACATACAAATAAACTCAAATCTATAATAGACCTCTGCGTAATTAAGCAAAAAACTTCACTCAAAGTACAAGATGTGAGAGTGAAACGGGGTGCCCAATGTAGCGATCATTGTTTGGTAATTGCTAAAATATGCATACCATTTACATCGAATAGCACGGACAAAGATGATAAATACGGAATTGTCATGAAACCTACCAAATGCAAATTAGGCAGTATTTTCGATGAAAGTACAGCATATCTCTACAGAGAAAGACTTGAAACTAAACTATTGGTTAAACACACGCCAATAGAAAAATAATATGAACACAAAAGAATGTATTCACCATGCCGCAGAGGAGGTGAATGTAAATTAGTTACTTGAAAATTAAAACCGAAACAGTATTGGTGGGACACAAGTCTAGAAGAAAAGATTAAGAGGAAAAGAGAGCTGTATTTAAAATGGCTTTGTGACAAAAAACTGAAACTAATTTTCAGTTAAAAGCAGTAAGTAGATAAGTAAAACAAGAAGTGTTATCAAGGAAGAATAAATTGTGGCTGAATAAATGCGATTATATATAACAAATCATAGGTGCAGCACGGAGCTCAGAAGCCTGGAAAGTAATTAAATCTATTAAATCGAACGAAAAAACAATACCGCATTATCAAACATTAGAATCAAAAAATGGAAAGAGTATTTCGGAAGACTGCTGCTAGAAAACAGAAACTTCCAGTCACACAAGGAAGTGAAATTTGAGCAAAGGGTAGATCTGGCAATTAAAGATTTAGAAAAAGCACTTAAGACCATGAAATCCGATAAGTAACCTGGTCAGGGAGATATACCGGTGGGATATAGGGATATAAATATGGACCCTATAAACTGCACCAAATGCTCAAAAACATGTTTTAAGGTGCATGAATCGAGAGGATCCTCCTCAGGAGTGGCGAACGTCTTAGCTAACACCGATCCATAAGAACGGATCTAGAGACAATGAAACAAACTACAGAGGAATTACTGTTATTGGATCTATAGGTAGACTGTATAGCAAAATAATACGAAATAAAATAGAAGAAGAGATAAACGGAAAAATAGGAGAGGAACAATGTAGCTTTACTATCGGTAGATCGGTCATAGACAATATATTTACATTAAAGAACTTATAGAAAAAAGAACAGTGTTAGGGAAGTTCATCTGGGTTTCAATTAATCTTCAGAAGGCATATGACAATGTACCGGTTGCTAGAGTTTGGGACGAAAAGGATGGACTTAAAATCAGTGAAAACTTAATTGGAGACACACAGAATCTATATAAGAACACATCTCAGATTAAGATCTACAGCAGGCTCTCGGATCCATTCCCAGTCATATAGGTCTTCGTCAGGGTTGCTGTCTTTCCCAACACTGTTTAAAATATATCTGCATCAAATTTTACAGCAGTGGGAGAAACAATGCAGAGTAATGGGAATGACGATCGGAAAGGATAATTTGTATACATTATATTTTGCCGATGACCAGATAGTAATTTCAGAAGAAGCGGACTATTTGAGTTTCATGATCTGTAAACTCAATAAACACTTTTAAAAGCAGGACTTAATATTAACATGGACAATTCTGAATACCTGGCAGTTAGTAACAAAAGATCTTCTGGAAAACGGAGGAAAAATTAAAGGAGTAAACAAATATAAATACCTTGGTGTACTTTTTAACAATAAGGGAAATAGCCAAGAAGAAATTTAGAGACGAATAAGCTTGGGTAAAAACGTGACACGAAGTATAAACTCTGTCTTATGGAACAAAACCATCACTAATACTACGAAAAGACGACTTTACTCCTCACTAGTTAAGAGTGTTACAACATACGGTTCAGAAGTTTGGGAGATTGACAAAAGAACAAAAGGGAAGCTGCCGGCCCTTGAAATGGGCTTCTGGCGTAGAAGTTGCTGTTATAGCAGACGTGATCGAATCAGGAACGACGACGTAAGAAAGAAAATGGATGTAAAGAAATCTATTCTTGACGGAATAGAGAAAAAATAAATCGTCTGGTACGGTCATGCGAATAACAGATGAAAGATGGCCAAAACGAGTCCTGCAATGGGTACCAAAAGAAAGACAGAAGAGAGGAAGACCCAGACTTGCATGGCAGCAGGAAGTGCTAGAGGCAATGACGGCAAGTGAAATGGAAGATGATCTATGGTCAAATAGAGAGGCACGGAGACTGAGAGCGGAGAAACAACTGTAGAGCAATATATATATATATATATATATATATATATATATATATATATATATATATATATATATGAATCTATCTATGTATGTATGATATGATGAGCTTCCCCAGAATATTAAGCCATGTCTCAGGCGGGAATACACATATACAAAATAGACGCGAGTTGCATGCCTTATACAATGAATTCAATGCCAGAAATATATTATCGTTTAAAGTTTTCAATAAAAAATCTATTGCTAATACTATTTAATTTTAGCACTGAATGTTCTACGATTTCAAATGAGTTTTACAAAACATGACTGAGATGCGTTAATGCGGGGATAAATTGTGGTATAGTTACATAACCATTTCTAAAGGCGAGAAAATACGTGTTATAGCACCACTAATTTTCCTTAATGAAATGTGTTCATGAAAAACAGATCTTTATATAAAGTTCTGTTGAATTGTTTGAAAATATTTTGTGTGTAACTTGGCGACAAACAATCGTCCGCTCCGAATTTACTGCGCTTCGGGGAAGCAATTCATGGCAGTTGGATGCTTCGTAAGTAACAATTTGTATATTATTTAATATTTCTTTGTTCCTTATATTCGACCTTTTGATATACATTTACACAATTTTTGTTAAGAAATTATATAAAACCCATTTGAAATATATGAAATTACTAGGGTTACAGCACGTACTTTTTCGCCTTTAGTAATAGTTATGTAATAACATATATACAACAATCTCTTTAAGTTTACCCATTTCAGTCGTCATTTTTTGATATACATTAACACAATTGTTTTAGAAAAATAGAAATAGTGACTTCATTCTTAAATTTAATGAGAACTGGTCAAACCAACATAGTACAAAGACGTCAATGATATCAATAACTCATTTTTCATTATTTGGGGACTAGACAACTATTGCGCTCAGTATTTCCATTTTTCTACTGAAAAATAGTTTTTCCCTGCACCATTATATAATATATTGTGGCGGTCAAATGGTTGAAAATAGGGAAGGTTTTGGTGCAGTTTTAGCGAGAAAGTAAAAATATCTAGTTATGAAAAAATGCTGAAAAATTCCAAACTTTTGCAAGTTTCGAAAATTTAAGAGTTAACAGTGAAATAATTTACTAATGCAAGAAAGTCTATGCCTTTCTGTAGCACCACTTGTTTAAATTTATAAAATAAATAATTGAACCTACTTTTATAAATTCACCTACTTTTATATATCTTAAATAATTCTTCTATTAAATTTGTAACTATGACTTTAGAACCTACAAGTTTCTGGCTCTTTGCCTATAAATTTGACATATTTTGTTGTCGATAAACAGTCCAAATTTGAACTGTAATTTGATGAAGTTTATGATAAAAACACTGTGAAGAGTATGATCAAACAGAAAAAGTGCTTTCAAAAAAAGTGGTTGGTTCCTTTCAGGTAAAAATGATGCTTTTGGTGTAGGATTTCATCTAACAGGAGAAGACAAATAGGCAGTTGGTGTTCTGTAAGAACTTTTATTAATGGTCTTTCAATATCACATAATAAATGGGAGTTAGTAAATTTACAATAATGATATCACAGTCCCCTTTTCAGTGCCTTTGTCAGATAGACTGATAATTCTTGCATTGTTTTGCCTCTTACAAATTATTTCTTGCCTTGGGCAATTTCTGATAAAAACGCTCACAATCATGAGGAAAGTGATTCCAAGTACATTAAAGAAAATTCAGCAATTACTTGATAACAATTGTGCCAATTGTACAATAAATGTACATGTACGCAAAGTTGATGTGTTGGTCTTTTTCTATAAGAGAAAAACCATCTATTATGCACGTCTTATAACTGAGAACTGAAATTAAAGTTAATATCGGTTTGAGAAGTTAAAAGAGTAAGGCTTTTGAAAAAAAATTGTCTTCACTTAATAATGTTTTTATTAAAATTGCAAATAATTTCTTAATATTGCTTTAGATATAGAATAAATTACATAACAATACATTTTGAAATTTGCAATAACCTTCAAAAAAGTAGTTAGTCAAATAAATCAATTGATGTCAATGTAAAGAAATCTTTACCTTTTATTCAAAATTGCTGTAATGGGAAAATTACCAAAAAATCTCAATTATTATATCTAAGTTATTTTTGATTTACGTAACTGCTAATTATAGAGATCTTAATCCCTTGTAATGTAATATCTACATTCCTGGATCTTGATGTCCTGAAATAATGTCATTTCAATATGTTCTGTATTTCTATCTCTGTTATTCAATAGATATTTGAACTGTTTATTACAATTTCTAATTGATTTCTAACCTATTCTTTAGATGGATTTTCAAGACTACTGCAATTAAATATCCATAGTTAATCTTACAAAGTAAATGCATTGATCATACTACTTCATTAGATAAACATGAATACACTTCTGCAAGTATATTTTTTAGATAATTGGTACCCTTAAGATGTGTGCAATATTGTATAGACATCCAGTAGAGACAATAAATTTTGAAAGACTTTTTCTTTTCTTTTTTTTCTGCACGTAAAGTACATTGAAAGTTGTCTCATTGGATTGTACTACAATATGTAGTTTTATAATAATTATTTCAAGTGTTCATTTCAGAATAATTTCAAATATTACACTAATAAATCTAAAACAACTAGAATGATTGTGCTAGTGTCCTATTAAAAATAGTTAATTCTGAAATTTTGTATAACAAAATGTCATTTTATTAATATAATTTTTGTAGAAATACTATTTTACACAGTAATTTGTACTTTATTAAATCATAATGCTCAATACTCTAGTTTTTTCATTACATTAGTATTTTTTTCTTGACATATTCAAAATACAGAAGTATAATCTTGAATTTCAATGGCAATTCATATCTGAACAGTCATGACAAAGATAAAATGTCCTTGAGCATTGCATGCAATCAAAGAAAGAAATGACTGCTACAAACTGTACAGGAGGCTCATGAATATACTGATACTACTTTATGACTAAGACTATGAAGACCAGAAAATTCTGAGAAAATGAGTGAATCTCATGTATGTATTCATTTACAAGTTCTTATGTCAATCTACATAAGTAGGACTGAAGCACTAATAATAAAGTTAAAACTATTTGTGTATTATTAGGAAGACATCTACAAAATTTGAGAACACATGAAATGAAGTTGGAATCTATTTTTCCTTTTATAAATTTCACAAGAATCATTCCAAACATCTGAATCATTTTCACTCTTGAGTTGACACTACTTCTACATAAACACCCATACTTAAAATACTTTTAAATATTTCTGGGAAAGGAGATAAACATTGTTTATCTACAATACAAAACAATATCTTTACCTAACTTGTTCTTGTGTATTAGATCTGTTTAAAACCATAGTAAGAACCATCCCCCTCGATATGCTTGTATGGAATCGTTCTTTGTGGGAACACAGCAGCACTATTCATACAAGAAAAAAAACTGCCATATATTGTGCTGCACAACCCACGATCCCTGAGCACACAGCTACTCCGTTAAGTGGAGCATTGTAGAGTTAGTTACAAGATTGAGTGAATATCTTGCATTGATCAGAGATCCTGAAAGAAAAATAATTAACAAAATTAAATATAAACGCATATAAAACCAATCATGAAAAGGCAAAGACACTTTAGATTTCAATCTGACCTTATCAGTGAGATTTGAGAGATATTGTGTGTCTCACTTTCAGTTCTGATGATTTTAATTTACTGCTTTCTCCTTGTTGTTTGTTAGCGGCACTTTGTGCAGCTTCAGCTAAAGCTTTATTATAACTTGCTTTAGAATCCACCACACTCAAAGCAATTCCCAACTGAGCTGCATAATATGTTACCATAATAAGTGCCTTTATAATAAAAACAAACAAGATTAATATTTTAGAACTGTAACATTAGAAAAGTTTCACACTTTAGAGCAAGCATACTAGGACCTTTAAAAGATTATTGCGTTCAAATTTTACTTCCAATTTCTTTTACATTTGATAGAAAGTTTTTGTAATATATTACTTAATGGTGTAACTTAACAACTATGTATCTGTTTCTTATTATTGTTATAATAAACATCACTGAGCACCTACCTGAGAATAAGGAATGGGATGATGAAAATGGTGGAATCCAATTAGTATATCAGATATTGCAAAGCCTATTCCTCCAGCACATGAACACAGTTTTGTCCAAGTCCAGAGGTCCTAAGAAAAAACACAGATAAGTATTACAATGTAGTTAAAAGTCCAATCTCTGTAACCAATGCATTTCGAAATAGACCAAAACTCACCCCAAAGAACTGTACTCTTGCAATGGCTCTCCATGCCATGGTTATCAGTAGAATACCGTAAAGTGGTACACCAACAGCAAGAACCCCTTTTAGACCAGGCAACAGTAGTACCACAGCTGTCAAAACATTAAAAGTGTCATAAAACATCTTGTAAGTAATAAAGAAAAACTTTGGGAAAAGTGTAATAAGACGTTAGATGGCTCATATATATCTAAATTTACTAAACAAAGTTCAATCAAAAGTATAAGATTCTAACCTGTAGCACAGCCAAAATAGAGTACTGCCCCTAAAGACGCATTAAGTGGCTTGAAACCAAATGCTGCTGTGTACATTAGTTGAGCAACACCAAATGCAACCATGCCATGTAAAAAGTAATGAGGCCACACAAGCAAAGCATCTCCCAGACATGAAAACAGCAAACCAATGAGAATCCTCCGGGAAAATGCATACCTGCAAGGAAACGAAAATACAATTTTGCATTATTATATTACTATACTATATATATATATATATTATATATATATATAATATATATATATATATATATCATTATATATTGAAGTATAGTTAGTAATGAAGTATAGTATGAATGAAGTACTGTAACATGAATGAATAAAATAAGTAATTACGAATAGGACAGAGAACCGTATCCATTTTCGTACTGATTCCTGCTACTTTTTACTTTCCGTATACGTACGTTATAACATATGAAGGGAGTGATATACGTTAGTATTAGAGACATGGTATAAAATGCTGCGGAAAATGCGATTTCGAAATTTTCAACGGAAATACACATTTTGGGGTCTCTGAAACCCGAAAAAAGTGTCTTTTTTTCAAAACGTTTCCCAAGGTCCCGCCCCCCCGCGCCGCGCCCGCCCGTCCGTCCGTCCGTACCGTCCGTCCGTCTGTCCGGTCCGCCGCGTCGCGTCCGCCTCCGTCCGTCGTCCGTCCGTCCGTCCGTCCGCCCGTCGTCGTCGCCGTGCGTCCGTGGCGGTTCGTGCGTCCGTGCGTCGTCCGTCCGACGTCCGTACAGTACTAGCGTCTAAACCATGCGTAGGATTTTTTTCCAAATTGAAGAAACTCATGTCGATCTGGCTCGAGTCGAATCTTTGACATTTTGAAAAAAATCTTTAAAATTGGGGGGTGCTTTACATGAAGCCCTCCGGACATTTTCAAAATTTTCTCAAAATCGGCTCCAAATTTTTATTTAAATTTCTTGCAAGAATAGAGTAAAATATACATATAAAGGTGACATTGGTCATCTTTTCAGGTTTAATTCTGAATTTTCGAAGATTTTGATTCATTTGTTTGTACAAAAATATTTGTTTGTTAAAAATTTTCACAAATATAATGTTTTTGAAAGATATTGCACGCCTTTAATATGCAAATTTCCAGTAATATGTAAAAACTAATGCATTTGTGACTGAAAGTGCTTGAAATGACGTCATATGAAGTTTTTCGAAAACTCAATAGTTTTCGGTGAAAAGAGGTTCCAATTTCGAATTTACAGTAGCACTCAAATGCCATTTTCTTTAAAACAGCTCCAAATTTTTCAATGAAAATTGCCATTTGGGTCGAGGTTTTACTGTTCTATAATATATTTAAAGTAATAATTCAATTCTATTAGGGAGCCGAAAAATTTCAAAAAATGTACTTTGGGCGTCGATAGACGGCAACTGGCAAGTCTGAATACCTAACCGAGACCAAAGGAGATAAAAAAAAACGTTTATGGGAAAGTCTGTGCCATTCTGTAGCACCTTTAGTTTGACCATAAGATACAAACAAACTTCTAATAATTTATGTGCTCGTGAACATAGTAACAGACAGAACAAACACACACATAATGGTCTATTTTATCCATTTATAAAGTAAATAACTTTTTTTTTTACGAAAATGGTTTGATATTGACTGCCGTATAAACGTCTTGGATTTTTCAAAGGAACGGCAAATGAGACAATAGGTTTTTACTTTATCGTGTACGTACTTATTTAGAGGGGCGCTCAGAGAAAACCAGGGGCCCGGGAAAGTTGATCCTAGAGACCCTATTTTACCTGGGCTCGCCCGCATTGTGGGCATGAGTGTTACGCCACTGTATAGAGTTAAGTTTGGATTAGAGACGAATACATTTTTTTATTTCTTTTGAGTGAAGAGAAATTTGGTGCCCCAATTAAGTTGGGGCCTGTGTCAAGTTGCCACAGTTTTCTCCCCTTTCTGGACACCCCTGCATATTTTAATGATGCAAAGCACATTAGAGACCTCATATGCATCAAGAAGATCTATTTTATTTATACTTTTATTATTTTTATTTTATCTAATTCTGACACGTTTACAAATAGAACGATAAAGTCAGCATAGATGGTGGGTCGGTGTCACCATAGCTGTGGGTTCGAAACTCGCGTAAGCCATTAATATTTTGTTGTTTGTGACGTGGGGTATTTTCCAGTCCCTCCCATATCACATCACCCCTAGCTCTGGCTTGTAACTACATGCGAGATCTGTGTGTAACTAGCTATCTACTCCCATAACAATGTAAATCCACCCATATGGGGTTTCTGAAGGGCAAATATGCAACTGTACAGAATTGAGATATTTGCTGCTCGATAAGCGCGAAGAAATGCTTCACAGAAAATTGCCTCCAGGGAGCAGAAGTTATAGCGAGAGGTCAAGACCATCTGCAATGTATTGCTGATTCAAAAGAAAGGACAACTGTCTAGTGCGAGAAAGTTTACACCATTTTGTTGCATCACTAGGCTTTGTCATGCTACGCTACGCCACACAGTTCAAACGGAAACAAGTTAGGCAACACAATATAAATAAGAACCGTTTACCGCAGTCACAAATTTCTAACGGACGTTGTAGCTTCTTATGCTTCCACAGCGTGCAGAACACATGGAGTACTATCGATGTACGTTGTACGCACGTTGCACGTACGTTGCACGTACGTTGTACGCACGTTGTATGCACGTTGTACGCACGTTGAACCGCATTGAACATACATTTTTACATTCACAAAATGAATACGTTCGAAAGAAATATTAATTGAAAGATTAATTAATAAATTGCATCTTCAAGCATTTCTTCTAGTGATTGCACACTTCAATATTAAACAAGGTATCTATGTGAAGTAAATAAAAATATTTCTTTAAATAATTATAATTTTATAATATATTATTGGGCATGCCATTGCAGCAAATCAAATGTTCCTCCCAATATCCACTAAAATATTACAATATTTTACTGCCCCGCGTTGGGCCTGACATTGAAGTAGATAATAGTTTCTCTCTTTAAAACAATCAAATTTATAATAGTTTTACCGCCGTTATTTTTCACGGCTTTGCTCGTGCTTCTTTAGCAACTCAAAGTTCTACCCAATATCATTTACATTTACAATATTTTTAATTTAATGAAGTGGTTAGGTCTGGTTTTTATTTAATTTCTCGGCGTCAGCATACTTAGGTTTTCTCAGGGTACTATTCTTGTCTTCGTGGGCCTCAAAATACTGCTCATACGAGTACTCGGGCGGTGAATAATTCAATTATCATTCGGAAATGTTTGTTACTACTCTTGATAATGATAAATTGAATATCTTGCAAATTTAGTTTATGAATTGCCAGCGACATTACATGTCGGCTTCCATAACTAATTTATTAAATTTCTAATTATTTTTAGTGATCAAAAATATTTGATCATGTATCTCTAATTGTTGACTTTGATGGCCATCGAATCTCTATAAACAAACCAACATAACAATTATTTCTCTATCTTAATACTACTTATTTCTAAACATAACTTGGCCTTGCTATAATGTTTTCGTTGTCTTTCTGCCACCAGACTTCCCTTTTGAAGATCTACACCAATCTTGGAGTTTTCAATGACTTCAGCGAGTGTTCCATATTTCCATTTGTAGCTCTTCTTACGCCCACAATGAATTTAACTTCCAACATTTTTACTTTTATTTGCGACTTAACTATCCCACGACTATTACTGTGTCTTTTCTATAAATTGCATTTCAATTAATTCTCTATTCTCTTATTACACGTGTACCACGTGCTCATTTTCTATCTCCACGAACTAATTACGAAATATTTCTACTTATCGCTCTTGACGGCCATCGACCCTCTGTTACCAAATCCGGCATAGTTTTTACCAAAACTGTTCGCTTACACTTCCTAACCTTCCGTTTACCTTTTCAAATTTTCCTGGCAATTGCTGGTCTTCATTTTGATGATATTTCTTTGTACTGGACATACTCTTGAGGCAACTCAATACTCAATTTATTGGTGTTAGTCATCCGTAACTTTTGTTCTTCTTCTACTATATGATTCTTACATCTTCACTTGCGGTGTTATGTTCTTTTTAACATTGATATTTTTCTTTAACTTCATCTATTCTTTTTACACCTGAGGCGTTTACGTTAGTGATGACACGGAATAAGTTAGGCATTCGCGGCTTTGATTCAATACTTTCCATCCGAAATGGCATCTTCTACTAATTCATTTACTTCTTCTATGTCTTGTTATCTTCCGATTTATGCGGACCATTGACCTTCGTGGTTCTTCGACGATTGCGGAGGGTTCGTATTCAAAGTGGGCGTCGCCACCGGCACCACGCTTATTTGATCTTCGACCTTCCCACAAGATGCGACTCCTAGCGACGATTGTATGGGCCGCCGGCGTGCAGCGTAATCATCTGTTACCCACATCCGCGCCCGTTTACACGCTCCCAAACAGCCCACCTTCGATGAAAACTATTCGGAAGAATCTATCCACGACTCTAGTCGTTGCACAAATCGCCATTCATCCCACCATGAGCTCCAGTCACACCTGCAAGCTTCTACCCTTCCATCAATCTCTTATTTTCCTCTTGCGTTTCCAACTTCCGCGTCGGTACTCCGTTAATATTATTTTTCCTTCTTCACTATTCGCATAAAATATTCCGAAAACACCGCTACCCTACTTTCCGTATTCAATAACGCATCATGCTCTGTATCAAAATAAATATCTCATAATACTAAACACTGGTACTCTTCATTTAATTTTCTTTTTGTACCTTCTCTTGAAAACTAACCTTTCCGCTACCAAAATTTGTTTATTGTGAATAACTGTACCCCTTCCCATACTTTGTTTGGCATGTCCCACCTTTCCATCCCAAATGAAATCTAGTTTTCCAGGTTAGCGTTCACGTCGAACGTTTCGCTTCGTTCTTCCTTTCTTTTTTGAAACATAGTTATTCCCTCCACTATCATTCCCTGATTTATGAAAACCACTTGATTTGTTCCCATGACTTTTCTTTTCCTTTTAAAAATGATTGTCTTCTTCCTTTGTATCATTCTTCTTATCGTTACAATTTGAGTTATTTTTATTATTACTCGCGTCCTTTGTTTTCCGCTCGTCATTCTAGCTGACGTTTGATCGAAATTATTCAATCTTTCCAATAACGTATTGATACTACCGGCGTTAGTGTTTGTAATCAAATTCAGGAAACTATATGGTAATTGTCTCACAATTATTCTCATAACCTCGTGTGGGTTAAATGCATCATCTCATACATGCAAAATTGTGATGCAACGCATAGCATTAATTCGCAATTGTTTTCTGTTTTATTATAGCGTTGCGACATAATTTGATACTTCATTTCAAACTTGTGTTGGTCATTCCAGTATCTATTTAAGAATTTATTTTTCCATTCAGCGTACTCAAGTTGTTGAGGACATGACTAGAATCAATTTTGGTCTTTGAACGATAGTGCTAATTTTACTATGTTCATTTTCGAATGGTCGGGAATACTTTTTATTTTTAAGTAATTTTTCAAATTTTCGATAAATAAAAAACGTTGTTCGCGCTCCTCTCCATAAAATTTTAACGACGCAGGAAAATTTAATTACACTTATATTTGAAGCCAGGGAACCATTGTTTCTTGCAAACTTTATTATCTCTTAAATTCAATTTTCTCCTGGCGAAGTACGTTTTCGACTTCGAATTTATCAATTCCCTTTTCATCGATAATTCCACAAATTATATTGCTTCATTTCAGATTTCCGTATTTTATTTCAGCATTATTTAGGCGTTTATCATGTTGTAACACCGTGTTAGTAACCAGGTCGACCTTTGTTTCAATAGTGGAAACCGGCGCGGACCAACCATCGTTTGCTTATCCCCAGCCTCTCCCTCTTGTCTTAACCATAGACATATAGCAGCAAAGCACGGTTTTAGATGAAGATTTGAATCGACGCAAGTCATGAATACACCCTGCTCAGGAGTGTACAATGCTTTAGGACCTCGGCTAATCGACATCTGCCAATCAGATTAAAAAAAAACAAAACTTCCTTATATGTTTCGTTTAGGATGCCAAAGTTTATCAAAGAAATAAAAGAATCAACATATTGCAAAAGAAGAATTTGAGTTGACCAGAAATGTGCGTCCTCAAATGTAGACACTGGGCGTTAATGGGTTCTTCACATTGGCAATGGCAAACGACAAACAGTGACGAACGAATCTGGAGAATATCGGATCTCGGGAAAATAAAATGTTTCCAGAAGGGGTGCCTGCATCTCCAGCGACTCGGTTTACTGCCATTGCAGCAACTACTTTATTCATTTCTGTGTTTAAATTTTCAATATATTAATTTATATTTCTAATGTAGCCTCAGTGAACCCGAACTCCCGATTAACCGAGACTTTGATAACCGCGAGTCTACTGCATAAGTTTGAACGTAAGACAAATGGTTTAGAAAACTTTGAAACATGGAGAAACAAAGTGAGAAACTTAAAAAAAGAATTAATTTTCTGTATTCAGCTACTTTTAGTATTATATTGATATAGAACCAAAATAAAATTATAAAGATAGACATAATTAGATACTTTATATAACTAAGAGAAACTATCGGCAATGAAAACTGGTCTTTGTTTTACTTACTCTTCTCCTAAGCTCATTCCGTGTAGTAAGACGAAAAAGATCAGGCTGATGATGGGCAGACATTTGATGAACATGGCGAAAACAGAAGGTCTTTCCACAGGTATGAAGAGCACGAAGTAGATGGCCACGGTTTTGAAGAACGGCACCAACTTCGGCCCCACGCTTTTCAGCTGCGAATAGAAGAAATTTATTTACTACTTACACTTGTAAGAATTTTTTTTACCAATTATAGATACAATAAATAATTTAGGAAAAATTGTATTGGGGAGTTCAGAGCAATAGTAACTTACACCACACGGCATGAACATGGATGTTTCCATGGCTGGACGGGAGAGTTCCCGGACGAGGCCAATAGGCCGGACTCTAGGAGTCCCGTCGTGTCATGAAAATTCACTCTTGCCGTTTTGTGTACAGTATTTTATTCGAGACTAGAATTTTATGTCAGTTTGTCCGTGTAATAAACAATCTGAATTGACAATTACGAGAATATACCATGTATTTTTCCGTTGGGTGTTGGTCCGTATTTTATTTTCTAATTGAGGACTGAGAGTTCAATGTGAATTGAGAAAGGTATTGCGCGGTATTTGCAATGGAGGAAAACGTAGCATTTAAGAATTTATTTGGAACTCCACGAGATAATTTGGAACAAGCCACAGCAGCTACTTCAAATTTATTGCCAAGAAAATCCATAGAAATATAAGAAAAATAATATATGTTTTGCAATTGGAGAAATCGGAGAGTAGAAAGCATTGTTACGGAGACCGTGCTCCTAGCGTATTTTGCAGAAATGAATCAAAAATGCAAACCATCGACTATGTGGTTGCAGTACTCGATGCTGAAGGATTGCCTTCGTGTTACGGACATTCCACGCCAAATCGCACAAATTTAACAAACATTAGACCTTAATGATCCAGATTATAAAACTTTTCTTCGAAGGGTGTAAGCAAAAATATGAAACATGTGGCTTCAATTTTTTCCCAATTATTATTTTTCAAGATTATATTAATTTTCAAAAATTTCGAAAAAATGCGCGCTTAGCTAAAGTTAATCATTTTTAACTTGTGTTGTAATTGTGACAGAAATTTAATACATTATATATTGTGACATTAAAGAACAAAAGATGCTCTTTCATTTGATGTATATTCATCAAACACTTTTAAATTCATTTTTTGACCTATTTTATTTTTGTTTTATAATTTCTCCCCAAATTCGACAATTTAAAAAAATAGAGAAAAAAACCATTGAAATATCTAAAAAGTTTTACATAAGTTTGGAAAGTTACAAAGTGGGACATTGAAATGATTCTGCGAACACTTGCTGTTTTGCTGCAGGGTCTGCAACAGCATTACCTCTCAAGCACGTGCCGATCAGCAGTAGATGGTTACCATCAATATACTTTCACAGAGCAATAATTAGAAGTATCCCTCCACATCGTACTTTGTGCCATATATATATATATATATATATATATATATATATATATATATATATATATATATATATATATACGAATAAGAGTATGCGATACAGTAAATTACGTTGATATTTCTTTTACTTCATTTTAAAGAAAATATTGTTAATCCACCTTTCCATAAAGAAATGAAACTATGTATTTTCTTTGTGTCTTCTACTGTTTTTATAATATCATTCTTGCAACAGTCCTCTTTCTCAGTATTGTTCAGCGTTGCTAAAAATATAAAGGAAATGTTATTTACATTATCATCAGCCAACTTAAATAACTTCCTGGGTAAATTAATAGGTTCCTGTCAGGATTGAATGCTAGCTTTTATCGAGAATATTATAGTTCCCCCCCCTCTCCCTTCGTTGCATGGTCCCTGTCCATAAGACGGAAGCAAAGAAATGTCATTCAGCACTCACTTTAAAGGCATCTTTGTGGAAGCATGAACTCGCATTGTTTTGTAATACTAGTTACTGACACTATCGGAAAATTATGTCTGTTAACACTGTCCTAATCTTACAAGAGAAGTGTAATGAGTTCACAGTGAAAAGAGAGAATTGAGATACTTCAGGGTGACCAGGACCAGCGGTTCACGTTTATTCATCATTGTCACTGCCCAACATATTTGCGGTGCGGCATTAACGAGTATGGTCGATTCTCACTTTCTTGAAAATACTGGCTTTACTCGTCACGAGAAGGAATTTTGAAAACCAGTTTTTCCAATACATATAAGCTATTCTGACAGCAACCAGTCAATTTTTAACTTCTCAAAGATGTGGATTGTAACAACCTAAACGTACACTTCTTCTACAATTATAGATTTTCATACTAAAAAATAGAAATAACAATAGTATTGATATTATTGTAAGCCTTTCTGTGTTTACTGACTTCACAGAACAACGCATATGTTTCGCGGATTCCTCTGTTTTCAAAACTGACAGTACATCCGAGAAAGAAGACTGCTGTGTTTCAGGCAGACCCTAGCAGTGTCAGTTGTTCATAAATCAACTTAATAGTCGCATTTCGTCAGATTTCCATGTGAGACCGTGTGTGTGTTTCTGAGGTTCATAACATAAATCTCACGGTTGCTTAATGTTGGACGTCGCGAAGTGTCGTGTCATTGACGCACTACTACGTAGTACGAGTCCGTACGAGTCCGGCGGGCAGTGGGCTGCCTACGTGCTCTGGTGGACAAACTATAAAAAAAAGTTATTTATATATGTCCCACTTTGAAATTTAGCAGATCTTTACAACAGTAGTGTAAAAATACAAGAGTATCTTTTACAATTAATTTAAGTGTCGACCTTATGTAAAAATTTGTATTTCAAAAATTAAAATATATTTATATTATATTAATTAATATATTATATTAAAGTACATCTTTTTAAGTTAAATTTAAGTGTAATTTTATTTTTCTGAAGGAAACGGTATTTGGGCAAAAAATTTTAAACATTAACACGCGCATGATTTCTCGGAAAAAATAATTGATAACATTGCTAAAAGGGATGAGGTTAGAAAAAAATAGAGTCACCTCATTTCAGCCGTAGACCACATAAAGTAGTTTGAAGTCGCTAAAAAATAGTTATGTTTTGTGACTGTGCGATTTGACGTGGAATGACTCATTAATGAAAATTCAGTAATCATCAAATAGTAATCAAGAATATAACAATAACATAATATAATTTAACGAATATAACAAACAAATACATAGCATGTAAATATATTACACAAATATAAAGAATATAACAACATTATATACTAGCGACACCGTGCGAGAACTCTCGCATGTTAATCTTCACCCTTTCCCGTATCCATTTCTTTATCCTTTCCATTAAGAAGTAAAAATGTTAATGAAACGTGTTTATTTGTTAAATGTAACTTCGTACGTACACAATATCCCACAAAATTTTAAAAAAACCAATTGACGTTGGAAACATATTTTCAATAAAGTTTTATAGAGATATGTTCTTCGAACAATTCGCACTTCCTTAAAAACATTGTACGTTCCTTCACAGTTAGCTTTTCGCTTTCCTTGATAGTCACAAATATATTAGAAAATGTTTTTACTCTTGAAAAAGCCAAGTAAAGTTTTCCATGCGAAAATAAAGGCTATGGCAAAGTACAACCCTACTCTTTGCAATATTATTTAACTTTCCTGGATTTCTTATGTGGAATATAGGGGGTTCTAGAGGGGCAGGGGTGCAAAAATTGAAATATTATTTGTATATAAAAAATATTGGATTATTTTTTGCGTTCTTATGTACCTCAAGAAAAGCAATTCCAATCCAAAAAATTATAAAACTAATATTTCCACTTTTGAGTACCATTTGTTACCTTTTCAAACAATTTTGTACTCGTAGACCACTTCGGTACATGGGAATGTTGCTCAAACGATGTTTACGTATTGAATATCTTTGCGAATCGACACCTTAAGTTTAATATCAAAGGGTGTATTATTTACAATATGAGTTTACGGCAGGGCATTGATGTACAGACTTCCAGATACCACCGACATTTAAATCGTGCGTCTGGATTGTAATCGTTGGCAGTTGTGGAATGACTTCCGCTATTCTTTCCATTATTTTAAATTTGCTTTTCTAAATTAATTCACGTAGTATTGTAAGCTAGGGCGTTTTGATTTTTGTTGATCATTGATTTTAAGCTATTTTACTTTAGCTAATTTAAAAAGTTTGTTATTTATATTGTGCCATAGCATAAATTATCCCTACTACTTCCGCGTACCCATGCGAGAACTCTTTGTTAAAACCCACACTATTCCGTATTCTTCTATTTCCTTTCTAAGAACGAAACTTGTTTAAAAATGTACAAAGATAACTAACACAATATCAAATAAAAGTTAAAAAATAATGCAATTGATGTGGAATAGAAAATATCACTAAAGATTTATTTAGTATTATAGAGAGATTTCTTGGAACAATTCACAACACTTCCTTAAAAATATTTGAAGTCATTATTCAATATTCTTTAGAAGTTAGCTTTTTGCTTTTCGCGATAGTCACAAAAATATTTAAAAAGCCTTTTTCTCTTGAGAAAGCTACGCGCCTGAACATTATGACTAGAAAGTTTCACCGAATCACTGCTGATAACGAAAATACGGGTACAGGTAAAACACAAACCAAACCTAACAAGATACGATTTCACTCTTCATTGTACACACACATCCCTCCCCAATTAAGTACACAGCACTTGCAGATCTCGGCAAAACTTTAAATGAATGTTTTCACTACATGCATAAGAAACAATCTTCATTGGTATCAAGCAACCTCGTATTAGTAGTACTTTCAGTATTTGCTGCGAGAGCGAATCTTGAATTAATAATTATGCAAATAAACCTCGTCAGTCTGCGCATACCACGGTGTGCACAAAACGAAAATAGTATAAGATAGAGGAATCTAATCCTTCTAAGCGTGACGTCACAAAGATGGCCACCATAAACAAGGGTTGAAATGTAGGTAGCATTGATAGTGTCAATAAGTGCCGAACCAGCCAAAATTTAATAGAATGTCCAAGAATATCTCATCCGGTAGACCACAATGTAATGAACGTTTCTTTGAGACCTTTGACTTCAAAATGTTAGTTTTTAAGGCCCTAGAACGATTGGTTTAGGAGTTATTTATCAACATAAATGACTGCGTGCTGTGGGTTACATTTGCCATGAATATTTAGATCCTTTTGTTAAAAACAAACAAACAAACAAACAAATACTTCATTTTTCTAAAATCAAAGTGAATTTCGTCACGTCTCCGTGAAATTCTCTCTCTTTAGAGACCTCATTTATAAAGATCGGTTAGTGTGAGAGCCGCAAAAGGTATGTATACTACTGAAATAACATAGGAGACGATGAGACGATATAGATGAAATGTATCAAATATTATATATATATATATATATATATATATATTATATATATTATATATATATATATATACACACACACATACACATATATCAAACGTACTATAAAGGATACAACAAATTTTTCGAACCTGTCCCCTACCATCATTATCTATGCTAGAAATTTCTTTAATATTATTAATTTATTAATAATATTGTAATATTTAACTATTATTCATAATAATTATTAATTCTTGTTTTTTAATTCAATATATTATCTAATATTACATCTAAAAACAATTTCATGTACACTTTTTCAAAATATTTGTCGTTATCTGAGTCAAATCGTGAATTGTTTTTCAAAAATACATCAACCAAATTATCTCAAAGCTGGCTCTAATGTCTTTAGAATATTTTGTTGGAGAGTTCACATTACTCCAAATTATATAACTTCGTTAATTTGTAGACGAGGTTAAAGAAATAAATTCCATGCCTAATGAATTTGAAGACACAAATTCTTCAAACGATCTATAATTAAATTTTTCTAGTTCCCAAAATATTTTCGAGTCTGAGAGGTGCAAAATTGGTGCATTTTCCAAAACGTTCAAACTCAAGCTTTTCAAAAATTGCTCCATTTTCTCTCGAAAAAAAGAAATTAACAAGCGAAACTCTTTTTAAGAATTTCTCAAAACCCGCTTCAGTTGTTCTCTTCAATATTTTTTCCACAGATCGAACGACGAAAATAATGGCGCATTTTCGTCGAACTCTCTGTATTTGTATATCCACCAATTTTCATATTCATTACATTTGAAGAAAGAAATTTTTGCTTCATGATAGGTGATACAAATAACTTGGAGTCAATTTTCTAAATGACACGGTAACGCTGCATCGATGGAGTGCTCGATCTTCTTGTAGGGTAACATTTGTAAGTGATCAGTTACATTTTTTTCACCAAGAAATATTTATTATTAATAGTTGATCTTCGCCTTAGTTGAAATTGGTGTTGATAGCATCACTTATCATCATTGGCATTTTTTCCACATGTTTTTCAACAATGCTACACTTTCAGTACGCCAACAAGGATTTATGGATGAATTCAATGGTATTATTAACTTTCGTATATATTGATATATAGGTGATCATCATAACTATTTTCTAGTTAGCATTTGGCTGCACAAACGTCACCAAGTTCTGCACTGTGGAAGTCTAGTGTATGTTCCCCTCTATGTTTCCTCAAGTGTTCATAATAGGTTGCTATATTTTCCCAAAATGTTCCCAGATGTCTTTCCAAATGTCCCCGAGATGTTCCATAAAAATACCCCTCCACATGTCTTCTGTAATCTCCTTCCAAATATCGTCCGTAATCTCCTTCCAAATGTCCTCCGTAATCTCCTTCCAAATGCCCTCCGTAATCTCCTTCCACATGTCCTCCGTAATCTCCATCCACATGTCCTCCGTAATCTCCTTCCAAATGTCCTCCGTAATCTCCTTCCAAATGTCCTCCGTAAACTCCTTCCAAATGTCCTCCGTAAACTCCTTCCAAATGTCCTCCGTAAACTCCTTCCAAATGCCCTCCGTCATCTCCTTCCAAATGTCCTCCCAAATCATCTTCCAAATTTTCTCCCAGATGTCCCTCCAAACGTCGTCCCAAACGTCATATCTGGCGTGTGCGGCGCAGGGCAGATGCCTTGCAATCTCTACAAGTGCGCGGGACTTACGCTCAGACGTGGAATTGTTAGACCGGATAAGGAACAATCCCTTCAAAAGTGTACACTAGAAGTGATTGTATTTATAACCCTGTCTTGATCCGACCCACCCTGTCGAACTTGCTGCGTGTACTCTCGACAAAGCAGTTTAATTAATACTGTGCAAGAGTTATACAATATGTGCCTTGATACTCATTTCCTTCTCACGAAGAACGACTGTGAAAATGTCAGAAGTTGCCTCAATCTGTGTAATTAATAAACACATTAAAATGCAATTACTGATAAATCAGATTTTTTTAAATACTGTAAATGGGGTTCACTATTGACAATAATGATATTGAAAGAGGATCGAGCGCACGAATTGCTGCTTTAATGTTTTCACTGTTCACACTCTGTAATGTTTGCACATTTAATGTGAAGTGTCTGTAGGTTTTAAATTCAAATTGTTCTGAAACAAAGCAGGCGCTTGAAAATACTTTTTCTCAAGGAGGAAGGCAAGGTTCCCCCTGCCTCACGGCTTTCGCTGGTGGGTTTCTGGCGACGGAATAATAATGTACATTGATGATCATTACTATAAATTATGGCTGATAAAACTTTTTAAAAATATACACAACGAATTTATATTACCTTTTTTGAAGTTGGTTAAAATATTCGAATTCGTAATGTATCAATTTTCCATACGTTAAGGATTCCAAAGCTAAGCAATTCAAATACATAGTTTTGAAGATGAAAACACTTAATGTCATAAAAACAGCTAAAGTAATAACTGTATGATGAAACCTATGTCTACTATAATTACATTTTGATTGGATTGTTTTCACAACGAAATGTAAAGCCTTCTAAATCAAGAAATGCCGTCAATTTTGAATTGTATTTACATATTAGCGTCAAGAACTCTGCAACCTGAATGGTAATGATAATTGCCACCTTGCGTGCTAAAATACATTTGTGTATTGTTACAAATATTGTACTTATGAATCGGTCCAGTAATTAATGGAAATCTTTGTCATTCTCTTAGAAATAAATTTTCAGATTTAAGTGTCAAAAGCTTAGAAGACATGCCTCTTGTTCTTACTGCAACATATATAGCTTGGTTATAAGTAAGCTTTAGTAACAACTAATAACCTGCAGCAATAATTCAGCTGAACAAAAACACACAAAATGGTTTTAGCAGTACGCTTATTGCTCAAGAACCACAAATAAAATACTCTCTGGTAAAAATCAAACAATAAATTACGAAGTCTTCAGAAATTTTGCGATAACATAGTGTAAACCCCTTGGACGGTTCATGGAGAGGTGCTACCTTTCTGAGAGGTGATTCCAGGTTAGATTCCCGGTGGGGGGCAAAAATGAAGCTTTGGCTTTCTAATGCAATTGTCTCAGTTTCTATTAGCTGTGTGACGAAAGAAAAGGCTCAGGCACGCCAAGTAAGCTAGGTATGCTGACAGGAATATGCTCCCCACATGTCCACCGCTAGCTTACACACACACACACACACACACACACACACCACAGAAATGCCCAAAACGTACATTTTTGTCAGAAAAATATTTATTGAGAAATAATGAAGTATTTTCGAAACTTTTCGAGTTCTCTCATAGAATTTCACCCCCTTAACAGCTCATTGTTTCTTGTTGCATCCATCTACACTTTTATGTGTACATTTTGAGAATAACAAGATGGAAAATGTACCACAGCAGAGGCTTACAAAGAAGTGAAGGGGGAACACGGGAACCTGATCGATGTACAAAACTGCTGTTGAGACAGGTAGAGGTCATTTTTCCTTACAAAAATATTCCAGGTTGAAACACAGAAGAATGTCTCTTCCGTCAGTGAAAACATTCATTTCTGGTTTCCCATAGCGTGAAAACAAATTAACATTTCAGTGACATTTAGAAAACATTCTCTATGCCCCAAAACAAATTGAGCGGGTCTCGGCGATAAATATTTGACGTTTTATAGTATGTAATGTTATATATTCTATTTTCTTGGCATACAAGCCTTCTTGCAGAATGGTTCCATTGCATTCTTCATTGGATGCGATATTAAAAGATTACGTACTTGAGGTTAAGATCACAAGGTTATCTGTTTCTACCCTGATGAAAACGTGATTGAAAGTAAACCTTTGCTCGAAAGGAAAGGAGAGGAAATTAGGATTTAACCGAAGACATCGAAGACTTTGTAGAAGACGAGAAAGAGCGGAGGAAGGAGAGTAGAATGTTGAAAGAGAAGTTACTAGTTAAGAAAAGTAAAAAAACAGCCGTTGCACAGGCGGTTGATGGTGAGTGTGAATGACTGCAGACACTATTTCAAGCAAAATCTACACAAAACCAAACGTAAAGATAAACCAAAAATGGTTGAAGATGCGTAAACGAAGACAGCTGAAGAAGGGAATGAGAAAGAAGTACTTGGAGAGGAAACGTGAGTACTCAAGAGGAGGAAACGAAAATAATACAAATATTATAACAAGGAAGAAAAGCAATAGTAATGATTAGATAGACGAAAGCAAATTCAGAAATGCGCACAAAATATTCAGAAGAGAAGCGCAAGAGGACAAAAAGAGGCAGACAAACAAGAGGGAAATGAAGACGCAGCAGAGGCAGAAAAGTATGTGGAGGCGGAAAAAGAAGATGAATCTGAAAAAAGAAGCGGACAAAGAAGAAAAGAAGAGGCGTCGGAAAAAGAACAAGAAGAGGAGGAGAAGGCAGAAGAAGAAATATCGAATGAGGAAGGCAAGAAATGAGAAAATTATGACGGCAGGCGAAGAGAAGGCTGGGCAATAGAAGTTAAAAGAAGAGGACGAGGGGGTAGAAGAAGAAAAAGAAGAGGTATAAGGAGAAAAAGAAGAATCGGCAGCGGGCGACGCGGTAGAGAGGGTGGAAGAAGAAGAGGAGGCGAAGGTAGAATGAAAAGGAGGTAGCAAAAAAGAGTAGGAAGAAGACGATGAAGATAAAACAAAAGAAGAGACGGAAGAACACGGGGAAGAAGCGGGGGGGGGGCGGCAAGAATAGACAAAATAAGAAGACGAGAGAGAAGAGGAAGATGTGGAAGAAAAAGAGGAGATGTAAGAGGGAGATGAAGATGAAAGAGAGGAGGTAGAAGAAGCAGATGAGGGAGTAGCGGAAGATAGTGGAAGGCAGGACATGAGAGAAAAGAAAAAGAAAGGAGTACAAAGGGGATGGCAAAATAATAAGAGAGGGTGGGGGTGAAGAAGGAGAGGGAGGCTGAAGAATAATATGGACGCAGGTGGTCCAGAATGAAGAGGATCATCCAAAAGAATGGATCTGAACGAAGAAGAAATGGAATAAATATAGGTATAAGAAGAGGCGAAAGAAGAAAAAGAGCAGGCGAAGGTAGGAGGGAGACACAATCAGTACAAGAAAACGACGCAGAAGAAGGAAAAGCCTTGCAAGATATAAGGGAGGAATCAGATGTAATATCAGTAGAGGAGCGGAGAATGACCGGAAACGCGAGTGAACACACACAAGCGCGTAACGAAAGAGCAACGAGAAGCCACTCCACTGAACCGGTCGGCGCGGCGAGGCGAGGCGAGGCGGGGCTGGGCGGGTGTCCTGCGTACCTCTGCCCATCCGGGGCGGCGCGGGCCGACGGCCGCGGCGCTGGGCCTCGCGTGCACGGCCGCATCCTCCTCCTCCACCGCCGCCGCCGCCGCCGCCACCACCACCGCGTCG